TGAAAAATAATGGTTGGTTGATGCTATCACAGGAACAATTCACTAGATATGTCACACCACATTAAACATTACGTTTACAAATAATTTTGAAACAAACGGCGCGCCATAAATTCAGTGCTCACAGTCTCACAAATACCTGTCATTTAGCTTCCTCTTTCAAAAAATCCTGAAAACAAATAAAAGGTTTCGTTTAATAATTTTTTTGTAGGCAAACCCAAAGGAGATTTTAGGGTAATAATATTGATGATTATGACGATGTACCAAAGTCAAGTTTAAATTTCGCCACGTGGGTCACTTGTGGATGTCGGGTGTAAATTAGTACAGTTTGTAAGTTTGTGGTGTAATGTGCGTTGTTTGTCATGAAGTCAACTAACATTGAAAAAAGTTCAGCTGTTTCAGAGGAGGGACATATCTTGGCAGCTTATGGTTTTTTCTGGCCGTAGGCTTGTCCTGCATGAAGATCAAGAGCTCTTGAAATCCCTTTTCCAAACTAAAACTCCGGACTTAAGCGTAAAATAAATATTGATCAATGTGCATGATCAGCTGGGTCAGCACTGAAGAATAAAGAAAAACAGGCCAAAAGGAAAAATAGTGTTAAAAAACAGAGACTAAACAGAGAAAAAAAGGTACAAAGAAACAGAAAACAGCGTCGCCGGGAGTCGAACCCGATTTATCTGCACGTGCAACCAACTCCTTGACAACTGCACCACAGTGACCCACATGATTTGAAAAATTAGTGTTGTTATATCAAAACCGTTTTCCAGTCTGCCAAATACCTGAAAGACGCTGTTTGAAGCTGGTGGAGCTGTATGTATCATGAATTCAAATATACATTTGAGGAAAATTAGCTTAAGCGCGTATTTCAAAGCTATTTCGCATTATTTCGGGTTCGACGGGCCGATCGATATGGATGAATCGATCGAGCACTAGCTTTACTAAATTTGGTGGAGAATAAGGAGATCAAGAGAGGCCCACACTCCAAAGGATTCATATGAAGTTAGGCCGGTTTAATTAGCGAAAGAATAGATGAAATATAAACATGTGTGATCTGTGAATGGAACCGCCTATTACTAGACCTTGCCTATTTTAGAGAAAAAATCCTCCAACACGGCCCGCAAAACAAATAAAGAAAATTATACAATTACGGACACAAAATATCAAAACGGTTTACTAAAGCAGATTATAGCAACACCAAAGCTCACACACCTTCGATCAAATTAGCGATGAATAGCGATATTTACTAGCTTCTTAGCTTTTCCTCGACCTCGCTCGTCTTAATAACTGTGGTATCTCTCGCTAATTTGCACAAGTGACGCGAGGCTCTTACCCGTTACTATGTGACGTCGCACTGGCAGACGGAGTGGGTCAGGAAACGTAGGTTGAAAACAATAGAGTCACCTACCTTCGCCCCCAACCCCCCCTCTCTTGGCACTGCCTTTGCCTTGAAGCAAATCGCATCCATTCATTTCATTCATTTATTGGTTTATTCAGATATTTACAATTCTGTTTTCTAACTGCCCACAAATAGCAAAGGCTTGTCTAGGTGGGCAGTGTCTATTTAAATCAAAATACGCACTCATGGTATTATTTTAAATTAACAGGTCAACTGGGATTTGAATTTGACTTTCGAGTCATTATCAAAATTTCACTCACAATTTCACTACTAGTGCGGAGCTCAATAACACACGCCTGCACAGTACCTTTAAGTTTAATCAAATCTGCCCTTTTATGAACAGCTTTGCTGTCCTGATCAGACAATAGATTGGTGTTGAAGACCTCAGTGGAACCTTTAATAAAGCGAACACGTTTTACAAATCCCTTAGCCCTTCGTTGTATCGATGTTCCGCTGTAATCTCAATTGGATACCCAGGTATTGTTTGGTCGTTAAGAACTTCTGGCCTGCTTTGTCAGCTCACCGCTGCATACGACCTCTGCAGCCAAGGAAAGAAGTTTTTCGACTCCAGTTTATTTACTTTTTAGTTATGACTTGAAAAAAAAAAAAAGTTCCTGATGTAATGTATAAAGCACTATATAAGATGTAAAGGCAAATATTACAAATAAAAGTTAGACTGGGTAAGTAAAGATGTCAAACAGAGTGGGGTATGAGTCAGGAGTAAGAGAAAACCTGGGTTTGCCGATTTTTAAAGCCTGGTACTGAAATAGTTATATTTTCCAGAATTTTTAACAGTAAGGTGTATGATGGTAAGCAGTACGTTACAGGCTTCTCTGTAAAACTATTTACTTTAATAGATATTCTGCATTAGCAGATTTAACAAGTATAGAATACTAAGCCAACGAAATCAAAGACCAACACTTCTAATCCTGACCTACATTAGTAAATCTTACATGGAAGCTTGATTATATTGCCCAAGAAGTTTAACTGTTCAGTTCAAAGACGTAAAGAATCTTCTTTCCACTTTCTTACTCTTAAAATATTTTTTCTCACGGTTCAGGAAAAAGCGTCATGGACAACATCTCGGAGATTCTACTGACCTTTCATATTGGTGTGGTCGTTGCAACTTTTCTTTTCAACACTGGACGTATTATAAAAGCAGTGGACATCTTTAACGAATGTTTGGTGCTCCTTAACGGTAAAGCCCTAGAGACAATCAAAGAACTTACCACACCACTGGTTATCTTTGTATACCATAAACTTTTTCACGGCTATACTCTTATCTACGATCACACCCGTGCAGTAGAATGTGGTAAAAAGCTTCACGTGATACTACACAATAGTGGCCAAAAAGAAGAAGAAGGGATCATATTACTTAAAATAGCGAACATCTACAATCAAAGAAGCAAATACGAGGAAGCAAAACAGTTTTACGAGAAGGCACTCGGCATCATGATTCAGGCTGGAAACAATCGCTTAGTTGGAACATGTTACGGAAATCTAGGAACTGTGTTTCAGTCTGTTGGTCAATATACCAAGGCTGAAGAATACCTTCAAAAAGCACTAGTGATCGAGAAAGAAATCGGTGACAAAAGGGGAGAAGCAAGAGCTTACGGAAATCTAGGAACTGTGTTTCTTTCTGTTTGTCAATATACCAAGGCTGAAGAATACCTTCATAAAGCACTAGTAATCAGCAAAGAAATTGGGGACAAAGAAGGAGAAGCTGCAGCTTGCGAAAGACTAGGAACTGTGTTTAAGTTTTTTGGTCAATATACCAAGGCTGAAGAATACCTTCAAAAAGCACTAGTGATCAGGAAAGAAACCGGTGACAAAGATGGAGAAGCAACAGTTTACGGAAACCTAGGAGATGTGTTTCTTTCTGTTTGTCAATATACCAAGGCTGAAGAATACCTTCAAAAAGCACTAGTAATCAACAAAGAAATCGGTGACAAAGAGGGAGAAGCTGAAAATTACGGAAATCTAGGAATTGTGTTTAAATCTGTTGGTCAATATAACAAGGCTGAAGAATACCTTCATAAAGGACTAGTGATCAACAAAGAAATCGGTGACAAAAGGGGAGAAGCAACAACTTACGGAAATCTAGGAACTGTGTTTCAGTCTGTTGGTCAATATACCAAGGCTGAAGAATACCTTCAAAAAGCACTAGTGATCAGGAAAGAAATCGGTGACCAAGAAGGAGAAGCTGCAGATTACGGAAATCTAGGAACTGTTTCTTTCTGTTGGTCAATATACCAAGGCTGAAGAATACCTTCAAAAAGCACTACTGATCGAGAAAGAAATCGGAGACAAACAAGGAGAAGCTGCAGATTACGGAAATCTAGGAACTGTTTTCCAATCTGTAGGTCAATATACCAAGGCTGAAAAATACCTTCATAAAGCACTTGTGATCAGGAAAGAAATCGGTGACAAAAAAGGAGAAGCTGGAGATTACGGAAATCTGGGAACTGTGTTTCTTGCTGTTGGTCAATATACCAAGGCTGAAGAATACCTTCAAAAAGCACTACTGATCAGGAAAGAAATCGGTGACAAAGAAGGAGAAGCTGCAGATTACGGAAATCTAGGAACTGTGTTTCAGTCTGTTGGTCAATATACCAAGGCTGAAGAATACCTTCAAAAAGCACTAGTGATCAAGAAAGAAATCGGTGACAAAAGGGGAGAGGCAAGAGCTTACGGAAATCTAGGAACTGTGTTTCTTTACGTTGGTCAATATACCATGGCTGAAGAATACCTTCAAAAAGCACTTGTGATCAGAAATGAAATCGGTGACAAAGAAGGAGAAGCTGCAGATTACGGAAATCTAGGAACTGTGTTGTTTTCTGTTGGTCAATATTGCAAGGCTGAAGAATACCTTCAAAAAGCACTACTGATCAGAAAAAAAATTTGATAGTCGCTCGATAGTCGTCGTCAACATGATAGTCGCTCCTGTAGCTGACTTACTCCAAGAATCAGACGGTAGTCCAAGCCAATTCTGCTCCCATCGAGACTTTGTGAATATCAGTGACATCACGGACATGACGTTTTTGTTTCGTGGAATTTAGGGAAAGTCCGGGATTGTTTTTCAATTACGCTTTCATCACACTATTTAAGAGGCATGCAAGCCTTTGGGGTTTGACGTTTGGATTATGCTGCTTTTCAGTCGTCATTTACTCACCAGAAACAAAACGAGCACATAAATTAAGAGTGCAGGAAAAGTTCTTAACGCACGCTACAGACTTAAGGCACGAAAGGGCGGTTGACTTTAATTCCAGGTAAGTATTTTGGTTTTAAAAAAGTAATAATAAACTCATCTTAGCTTACCTTTATCGGTTTCATATATCTTACCTGAGATTTTAATTTTCTCACTAAGTTCCTGAACTGCGAATGTGTTTAGTAGACAATCGATCTCGATTGGTGTCGTGTGATTCCTAAAGGTCGAAGGAAACTGTTTGAAGAGCTCAAACAATCAAATCGTTTTGCCTTTACGAAATGGATTCCCTTTTATAGAAAAGATTATAAATATTCCCAGTTGATACAGACATGAAACGCCGGGCAGGTATTGACTTTAAGTGGGTACGGTAAAAGCAGAATTCTTTTTTCCTGTTTTTGATACATGGTTTCAAATATAAATGTGTTAAAGTGGATCTGAACACAATCCCTATATACAGTTTTAACGTTTTGAGTTATTGACCTGGGAAATAGGGTTGGGACAGCACCCCTGCCCTCTGCCTCTGATAGTTCCTATTGAGCTTTAGACCTTTTCTTTAAACAGTTTGGTTTTTTATTATCATTCTGACCGACAGTGTAGTAAGGGTCGCCAGAGGGCAAATTGTGGTTGCCAAAAATTTCCCCTCCCTATTTTTCAAATAAAAGTTTAAACACGAATAAAAAATTTATGGTATGGACGTTTTTATGCTCAAAAATTGCAATACTTTCGCTCCCGATACCAGAAAGCAACCGTACGTGTACGAATGAAGTCTTATTTTTTCCACAAATTACTTTTTGGAGATATAGAGCTGTGTGACCTAGAACGTAGGAACAGAAAGCTGTCTGCCCATAACTGCACTAATCATATCAGAGCTCTATTTTCTTCCGATAACTACCACGAAACACGAAACATAAACACGTGTCAAGCCGCGATGCCCATATCACTGTGACAGTACCAGGCCACAACTGTGCCACATTACTCGTACCAGTCCACAAAGTACATAACGTACTTACCGTATTTCAGCTGAAAACAACATAGCGGCTTGGAAACGTTTAACTCGTATTGATATTACAGGAAGATTCGTTTCACTTTTAGTTAAAAAATATCACCAGGACAAAAAGTAAGACAACTGTTGGCAAATAGCTTCGAGGTTTCACTTCTTAATCAGTTTCTCCGAACCTTAAAGTCCACAATAACAACCAACTTTACAAGTCGCTAGCTGGCGACCAGCTATTAAATTCTGGTCGCCAGGACTAAATTTTTAGTCGCATTGGCGACCATGAAGGCGCAATTTCGGACCCTGATTAAGTCACGCGAAGCAACAAGCGCGCCACACACTGTGTACACATCGTCCTTTTTTGCAAAGATCCGATATGAGCCACGCAAAGGAACAGGCGCCCTACACAATGTGTATGCCTCGTTCTTTAAGCAAAGACCCGGCATAAGCCACGCGAAGGAACAAGCGCCCTACACAATGTGTATGCCTCGTTCTTTAGGCAAAGACCCGGCATAAGCCACGCGAAGGAACAAGCGCGCTAGACACTGTGTATACATCGTTCTTTAAGCAAAGTTCCGACAAAAGTCACGCGAAGAAACAAGCGCGCTGCACACTGTCTATACATCATTCTTTAAGCAAAGATCCGACATAAATCACGCGAAGGAACAAGCGCCCTACACACTGTGTATGCCCCATTCTTTAAGCAAAGACCCGGCATAAGCCACGCGAAGGAACAAGCGGACAGTATTGAACAACCCTCAAATATTAACCAAGAGTAACACTGCATGCAGAACCTCTGTGCCTACACGCGAGGCACCAGTTTTATTTTAAGACATTTTAAGAGCTTACCTTTCATTAATTCAACACACAACACACATCTGAATACATCAGCTTTCTGCCTGTATATTTCTCCTTTCCCTGTCTGTTTTCTTAATATTCACCTCTTTTTCTTCTTTCATCATCAGGGTACTGCATCCGTACGGCCTAAAAATTTGAACAAAAATACAAAACAATGTAGGTATTTTTCTAGAAAGAACAAATTAAACATTATGAGGGAGTTGTAAGTGCAATGTTTAACGTTAGAGATTAACCTTACAGGGTACATACAGTAATATAACAACAATAAAAACAGAAACCAAGAACAAGAAAACCAAAAGAGCCATAAGTTAACAAGTGTATTCCAAGCAACGGTACATTTTCATTGACATCACAAAATGATCAAAAGACTGGAAGAAAAACATTAAGCTCTTAAGAAAAAAGGACCAAATAACGAAAATTGCCAGTTGACAAACAATTCTCATTCTTGTATAGTATTCTGTATAGGGGCAAATGAATTCAGCTGCAAAGAATTCGACTACATTTGACAATTTTAGGGAGATGGAATTTACGCTATATTAAAGCATACCTACTAAAAAGACCTGCAAATATATTTAAAACACAAATCCTCACCTTTAGTCAACAAATGTCATTTCGTAAGCCTTCTGTCTGCGTGTTCTTCCTTGCCCTGTTTATTGCTGCTTCTCAGTGTGCTTCCCACTTTTCTTCTAACCCTTCATCAGTGATACATAATGGAATCAACACAGACTCTGAAAAAAAAAATTCAGATGAGTTAATCTTCACTAATTTAATTAGAATTAGCTAAGACCCTTATCAGTTTTCCCAACGAGGATGTATGCATGTGCCCATTGAAATAAAAGAGATGCAAAGAAAATCAGAAGTTGTTCACATATCGACAGGTTTCAGCTTTGGGAAGGTTTATGTTGAAGTACCTCATAACTGGCTTACTGCTGTGATTTACCTCTCTGGGGTTTCATCAACGTAATTTTGGAACACTGAACACTTTCCAGTCTGGTATGGGAAATGTATGAGACAGGCATCAGGGATCCAATATTGTAGTAGAACCCTACAAGGAGGGAAGAACAGTTAGTATGAGTTTCTAGTTTCCTTACTTACTGGTTTACATGTCTGCAATATTTTAACTACTTTCAAACTACAGCACAGGGAGTGTAATGTCCAAGCCATAACTGAAAAAAAAAAAACGTTAACTTTAACTTCAGCTGGATAAAGTATTACAGTGAAACCTGTATTAAGCGGACACCCTCTATTAAGTGGACAGTAGCCGAAGTCCCAAAATTTATTTCCCTCATTTACTTTAAATGAAACCTTAAGCGGACACCTCTATTAAGCGGACGCAGACACCTAAAAAGGAGTCTATCTTTTTGTCGAGGGTCGAGGGTTCCATGTCGAGGGCGAGGGTGCTATGTCGAGGCTCGAGGGTAACATTTTTTTTTCCAATTTTTTTTTTTGGAAAAGGTAATAATCGATGCAATCAATGTCATTAAAACAAATAAAAAGAATTAAAAAGAAAGGGCGCGTGAACATCTTCTAGTTGTTGGGTGGGGCGGGGGGGGGAGGGGGTGGAATAGAGAAAAGCTCCGGGACATCCCAATTTGTTTTCGAAGAATTACATTTATAACACCCCGGAAACCCATACCACGAACAGAACACGTTATCTGAAAACACTGATTTTGAAAAAAAATGTTGTAAACAAAATTTAAAATGTCGTAAAACAAGAATGAGTACGTTGAATTATGAATTTCTGGTCCAACCAACAAGAATGGAAGGAAAAAACTCTTATAGCGTTGTAAAATGTGTCATAAACGAACAATGCAATCGTTGGAGTCTATCTTTTTGCAGAGCTATTAAAATGCGCGAACTCGCATGGAAATCGCCACCCACTAACGCAGAGGTTTAAAATAGAATAATGCCTGGTAGCGACTTTCGGTGAGTTGAACATCGGCATTTGCCGACGCTTTCCCATCAAAATACAATATATCTTTCTAGGCCACAATCGGTCATATTTATTTGTGAACGTGGACGTGGTGGACGTGAATACAGTGGGATAGCTTAAAAAACAAGAATCGGTGAAATATCCATATTCAAACTACCCCACTGAACAGCCAAGCAAGGCAGAGAAGAGGCAGACGTGACTGAAATATAAGCCGCGAAGCAGGGGCGCCCAACCACGGTTACCTCCTAAATGCATTGAAAACACTTTTTCGCTCATCCAGAGTACTTTCAAATCTCTAGAAATGCATCCTAAGGGGCGCTATAAAAGTTGTATCTGTTCGGTCGTCCTAGGGCAACTTGAATCTTTTCGAAATCACTTAGGGCCTCAGTATTATTTTCCCGAAATTTTTAGATGCAATTTTAGGTTTTACGAAAGTGAGAATTTTTCTGATTCCTCTCTCCATCGCATTTTCTAATCCGAAAATTTTAGATTTCCTTTTTCTACGAAAATAGGCTAAGTTGGGAACTGAAATGTGAAAAACTACACTTTAGAAAATCGTAGGGAATTAAGTAGATAAGCTACGAAAACTGTACATGAATGGAAAGGCCATCTAGAAATTTTTAGCCTTCCTCAAGTATGCAGAAAATTGTAGGCAATTTTTGCCCCTCCGAACAGATATTTTACAGAAAACAGTCGTTCGGTGCCCCTGCCTAAGCTCTATGACATTTTTTTAGGCACAACCTGTCTACCTTCACAAGAAGGGAGAAGGTTCTTTACTTTTAAGCGAATTCGAATGTCTACGTACTATTTTAATTAAACAACAACAACAACAACATCACATTTTCTTTATGGATGTGCCGGAGCTTTTCTCTATTCCATCCACCCCCCGCCCCCACCCAACAACTAGAAGAT